TTCCTACATTCTATTGGTATAAAATGAACACCACATGGTTACGGGTACATATTTAGTGCATAGTAAGCTGGATATATGGTGTGTATACCATCTCAATGTTGTGAGATGATAACATGGCGATAGTGTATGATGCATACCACCTGCACTATCCCGACTATCGCATTAACAAAGATATTTTTGTTTAATTTCATATCTTTACTCTGCCTTTTTGTCACTAAAGGGTCAACATTTGCCACTGGTGTTTCCCATCGTACCTTGCAGGACTATTTATTTTTCTCTGATGGCCCGTTATCATACAAATTTATTAAACTGTGATAAAGCCAGTGTTACACATATTCTGCTGGTCAGTGATCTAATGTACAATCGTACAACAGCATACTCCGGCCCAGCATGGTTCATGTCAGAAGCCAAAACGGTTTGTTACGATACAACGCGTAACACACCACTTGAATTGATGTGATTTGAAATTGAAATAACCCTACAAATGTTGCTATTTGTCTTAAATGTTATACCACGGACTTGTGACAAAAGTAACGCACGGACCAAAAACTGATGTAGCTAGATGTCTGCCATGTGCATTGGTTACCTAAGATATGTGCAATACCCAAATTGCCATAAAAAATTGCATCATTGTGTGTTTTGCTTATGTAGGTTTGACCCTTTCAACAGCACAGCTCCATGAGATAAGAACGAAATATACAGACTGTGTCAAATACAACACCCTGACATTGTGTTAGTGTCAGGTGAAACTACAGAAGTAGACAGTATGAGTTGTGACTCATCAGAGATGTGGTCCGTGAAAGATACCGAGAAGATGGATATTAAACATCCCTAGATTATCCTGGATATAATGTAGGGTCGATTTGATCATGGATTTGATAGAATGTCATCTATTTTGAATGAATGGGCAGCATCATGGCCTGCCACCATTGTTACCATCAGGAGTCCAGTACTGTATACCTGCTACAGATTCAAACATTCTGGAATATTCGTCGAAGACGGCTCTTCCTACCAAGTAATTTGAAATCTACAATTTTACAGTTCTGTTTCCCACAACCCCAGAAGGTACATGCGGAAGGTAAAAGTAAAGCATTACAATAGATTAATAAGACACTTAATACACGGCATTCTCTGTTCCGATTGAAAACTTCAGTAACTATTTCACTAAACTGCCAATATAATGGATTTGTCGTGATAATGCACAACCATAGTCAGGCTAAGACGACAATCCCTTTGCTTGAAATTAATCATGTGATTCATGATTGTATGCGATAGCGGGTTGGATGTGAGCGGATTGTTATTAAAGGCAGACTGAACAGCAATGAAAACCACTCGAGAAATAAATCTATGCACGACCGTAAAATCAGCGCTGTGCCATATGCCGGCAGGCCGGGTAGCCTGATGAGATGTAACCCTGGGTCAGAACTACCCATACATCTCCCGGCGCCGCTATCTGCGGGTATTATCTAGGGGAATTCTTCCATTACGGTAAAGAAAAGCACCATCAGCCTGACCCATGTGACCACCCAGTCGAGATTCTACCCTCCCCCCTCTACTTCACATATAGCCAGGCATCAAATATGCCGGGTGAGCAAATTTCTATCGTGGAATTTTCTGTAAGTAAACAACCTTCCCTGACCGACAGTACATGATGACACAGATATCAAACTGTCGCCATGGAGCAAAAGTCATACAACATCGATTAATCAAACATGACGTGCGCTGATAGTTGATTGTTCTTTGGCATGGCTGATGCAGGTTTGCACACAATCAAAAAACACGCATTTTTCATGTAAAATATATGCCCTACTGTAGAACGCTCAGGGACGGTAAAGTTATGCAAATAAAGGTAGAAAAAATCTGACTTGGGACTGATCAAATGAC